GAATTTGATTTTCTCAGATTACACCAAGACACCCCCACCATTCCTTCCCCTCCTGAAAGAAGGAGGAGACCTACATGAAGAGCCTATCCCTCTTTGTCAGGGGAACACAGCTAATCACAAAAATCTGTTGAGGAACAGTGAATACAAACTTCTAAACAAAGCCGCAAAACTGAAGACCACATCCAAAAAATGGCACACAGGAATGCAGTAGTCACATCTAAGCTGCATTTGAAATTGATTTCTACGTATCAAAACCTCAAATCCATCTACAGAAAGAACTAAGGGGCACCTGGTAAAAATGAGTAAGTATGCGAAGCTGCGAGCACATTTTGGGTACTGATTCTTGAAATTCTTTTATCCTCTTGTTCTCTTCCTCCTCTTCTGACGCAGTTACACCCCATTCGCCCTACAAAGAGACCAAACAAATAACAGGTCGAGCTTCACCTTCCACCTGGATAAACCACCGTGTTTAACCAAACATCGCCAGAGCGAGCCAAACGCATAGCCTCTGATATTGAACCTGTCAGTCCACTCAGCAGCTGTACAGCACACTGAGACTGTTCAAGATGTATTAATGACCCGACTCCTTTAGAAGGAAAAGTTACAGAAGTCGTTCTCCCAATGTTCGTAGGAAGACAGAGACTATTCAGGAAATGTCAGGTTAACAAAGTCCCACCCCAGGACCGCACTTCCCACAGATGGACAGCTCGGAGGCGGGCATGGAGCTACGGCATTCATTGTCAGAAGGTTTAGAATCTGCAAGCTGCTTCCATTTCCTTCACCTAAAACAGCCCTAAACGTCTTGTCCTCCAAAGCCAACTACAAGATCTATTCACCTAGACTTCTGGGGCAAGGCAGACATGAAGAATGCCATGCAGGGCTTTTCTTTGAATTCTCTACATTACTACTGATGACTTTGACGCCTGTCCCAACAACATTGTCCATTTCTGTTTCAGCTCTAGATGTTGTCAGAAACCCACTGAGTATTAGATAGCAAAAACCATATACAGCTGCTTCAGTTACCTGCCATGTTCTAGTGATAGCACTACTGTACCTCAAGCTCACGCTGTTTCTTTCGCTCTTCAAATTGCAACCTCAGCTGCAACTCTTCCAAAGCAGCTCTATACATTGCATCTTGGGCATTCTGGAGCTCAATGATCTGATCAAAAACAGCCCGAAGCTGGTTGAGAAGTACCTGTGAGATGGTACAGCAGCAAAACATTGAGGGGAGTTCTACAGTGAAAGAGATTTAACTTCCTTCCACTCTTTGGAACATGCAAACATTGAATCTTTTCATACACAGCCGGACAGACCATTTTGCAAAGCCCCAAGTCCCTTGCTGCCTGAAGCTGCATGCTTCTTAGGACCAAGAGCAACGGCCTCACGTTGCAGCAAGCTTTATAATCGGCACCCATCAGTGCGTGCAGGGACTAGGTACAAAGCCTCCCACAATAGTCTTATATCAGAGGGAGAAAAATGACTTTTCCCAGGGTTCCTGTAACATAATAGGGGAGAGTCGCTAAGCCATGAGCCAAGATCACAAAGCTGCAGCTTAATGCAGAGGTAAGACTTACCCTGGAGTCACTATCCAGCAAGCACCGAGCGATGATTGTGTCCAGAAAAACTTCATGAGCTGCAATTATGTGATCCAAGTCCTGCGCTTGTTGGACCTTGTTCCAGAGTTCATCCCATGAACATTCCAGTACCTGGAGCAATGATTCAGGATGGGGCTGTTTTAATTTGCTAGGCGACAAAGTTCTTTGAAATTTAACACACGCAACACATACAGGATACTAAAAGTGCTTCTTTGTTAAGCAATCAATTGGGTGGATAAAGTGTACCTCAAATGTAATGTAATACTGCATTTGATGAATGAAATGGACCATTTCTGATGCCAGAACGTGACACTGATGCAGCACCCCAGAAAGCTCTGTAAAAAATTCAAAGAGATGGCATGTTAAAGACCAAAAGGACAGCAATAGCCATCAAACCAGCTTGGTAATGCTTTTTTAGCCAAACCAAATACCCCACAAAACAGCCACTAAACTTGCATGGTAACTGTGATACTAGCTGCTAACCCAAGATCAAAGAACTTGGCACAATGAACTCCTTGAAAACAGAGCCAAAAACGACACTGACTGTGCGATCAGACGGTGCTGAAAACCTGCAGAGCATCACAAGAGAAAAAGACCCCTGCAGCCCCCC